AGGTAAAGGATGAGGCGAGCGATACCTTTCAGGACATCCATGTCGGCGCACGGGTCGAACACGTGTGTACTTGGGTCAAGGGCGTTAGGCGCTTCCGGGCCACGTGACCCAGGCGGTTACGCGGTTGCCGTGGCGACGCGATTACCGTGGCGACGCGGTTGCCATGGCGATCCGGTTACCAGGGCAACCGCGCGACTTTATTCGCTGTCGTTAAGTGTGGTCCAGAATCAGACTGATCACAATTCGCATTTGTACTGGAGGAATCCGATGAGCTGTAAGCCTGTAACCTACAAACAATACAAAAAAAAGAACACGATAAGAGTGCGAAGTATAGCAAAAGGTAAACAAATCACTTCGGCATAAAATATGTATACACAAATAAAAGTAAAAAAAATATATTTTATTTTACACAGATGAGGCCCACTGAGCTATGTAGCCACTTTTTCAGAAGCGAACCGGTCAAATAATCTAAACGCGTGATTTTGATTCTAAATGTGGAGGAAAAAAAAGCGGAAGACCCGGAGAATATCAACGCGACCACGGGGAGAGAGACACGCAAACTCCAAATATACAGCAGGTTGGGATCGAACCGACGACCTCCTGCATACCAGGTGACTCCATGAAGCAAAACTTAATTGGTGATGCTGCTGCTCCTGCGTTGGCAGAGGTGCATAAGCACAAATAACAACAACAACATCCTAGACACGCTCATCATTAGCACTGTGTTCTTAAAAGGAAAAAGATATATAACACATTCCTGCGGAGGGAGCTGGTAGGAACGTTGGGTTGCTCGGTCAATGGCCTGCAGGGTCAACGGCGGCGTGGTGTATTCCGCAAATATGCCCGACTGTGAGGGCGGGCACAAGCCGGCGTGAGTAGGTTAAATGTTGAGTTCTATAAGGGCACCACGGGGTGACCAGCCCCTCCCCACCCAGCCCCACCCCTCCCACCCCCCACCCAGCCCCACCATCCCCACCCAGCCCCTCCCCACCCAGCCCCACCCCACCCAGCCCCACCCTCCCCACCCAGCCCCACCCCTCCCACCCCCTACCCAGCCCCACCCTCCCGACCCAGCCCCTCCCCACCCTCCCCACCCAGCCCCTCTCACCCTCCCCTCCCCTCCCCACCCATCCTTACCCCTCCCATTTTTGGATGCAGGACGGGCGGACGGACACAATAATCCCCTGTGGGCTGGTGGAACCAGGAGGTTCCTACCAGTATAATATTTAAAATTAAGCAATATACAGCAGCAGAGTTTGGCATCTCTCCCACTTAGTCAAGGCCAAATCTGACAAATGCTACCGAGAGGACCTATCACATGTTTCAAATTTTCCTGTTACAAGTAGAATAATTAGGCCGACGCCACTGCGTGTTATCTTTGAGTCAGGACTGCTTTGAAGTTCCTCGCACTACAACAGCTGATGACACTCTTGGAAGGCTTCTCTTCAGGAGACCCAGATGTTGTCACCTAATCCTAACCCAACGCGACTCTGACAACCAGTACGTGTGTTTATTATTGCAAACGGGGAATTCCTTATCTGTTAAAATGATGTTTCTTCCTCTGACGTTCACACCTGTGACGACATCGCATTTATCGCCTCGATTTAAGACCATAACCAGAGGATTTCTCAAACAACTGCCCTCTATTGCCCACCACGTACCTCCACAGCATTTAACACTCGTTACGCACGGCGGACACACCCCATCACTATCCAGGTTTCAGAGATCTGCTAATGAGATATGGCACATTCTCGGTGACTGTTTAATAGGCCAGGACAGGTAAATTAACTGCATTTTGTCTCTGGTGCAGCCTCCAGCAAGGTGGGGGAAGGGTGGGGGGGTCCTTGGCCCCCTCCTCCCTGACACTGTGGGGGCTGCTATCTACAACGGTGTGCTGCTCTCATATCCATGCCATGCGCTCCGATAGCCACGCCAAACGGTGTGGACAGTACTTGATTCACATGCAACGGGCGCAGCACTCATGGAGGGTAAATATTCCGGTTTGTTTCCATTTACTTTACCGAGTGTTAACATCCCCAGTGTTTAACAGTACTCTCTTTATTGTCAGCCAACATTGGTATAAACATGGGCATTTTCGTTCTTTTCTATCATGTGTATCAACAGGTGCTTGTGCATAGGCATGTCCACGTACACTTGCACCCCTTGCTCTCTTTTAGCCCTCCCCCCCTTCCAATACGTTCCATTCATTGGCATCTTGAATCCCTGCCTCACTTGATGCAGCAAATCTGGCTGTGACGGTCCCACCTGATGACGGAGACTTGTGTTGCCTCCGAAACGTCGTGATTTTTATTTTATTTTTCATTAATAAAAATTTAATTTTCTACCTACGTGACTTTACCGAAAGAACTAAGAGTGTGAAACGGAAACTTGAAGTTTGATGTGTCAATGCCTTCACGTTTGTGTACCTGACGCAGTGACCCCCTGGGGTGTGATGCACGGTGATTTCCAATTATCTTCTTGCATATAGAAATGTTCAGAAGCTAAATGCCAATGTCAGGGTCTGTTAGCTACGAGGGCTTCAGAAGAGATTGGGTGTAGTCTTGATTTAGAAACGTGCGTTTAGAGTATTTGGCTGCTATAAATTTCCACGTGATAAGCCACTTTGTTGAAATATAATTTGTGGCCAAGGCACTTCTGAAAAAGTGCTATATAGCTCAGTGTGTCTTACATGGTAAAATAAAATAAAGTTTCGTTCTAGTTTATTTCTCAAATGAATGACCGCTGATTATAATGGTTTAGTTTAAAACGTAGGCTTTCGCGACCAATATTATTCATAATCAACGTTTTTGGGTTTCGATCGCGTTATTTATAAATGTGTCGTAACCCTCCATCACCCGACACGGCCAATCAGTAAAAAAGTGTCACGTTGACAAAAGACAAATAGTTCACTGCTTTAGCCCACCGGTGTGTTGAAGCGTGAAACCACAACATTTACAAAAAAAAAATTTCATGATTTTGCCTGTCCATTGCATAATGGGGGAATTCCAATGAAGTAACATGGTCCAGCAGGAGCTGGGTACAGGAAAAGTGACAATCGGTTATGAGCACTTGGCATATTCCTCTCAAACACTCATTCTTCTAAAGCAAGTTTACATATGAATAAATTATACGGCTGATACAGGACTCATTTAATGACGTTTAAGTAACATGTTTATTGGGATAATAAACAGAAGACGTATAATGATGCATTCATATCGATTCTTAAACTCTTACACATACATGGAAATTCATGTGTAGGAATCAATGTTTCTTAATTCCTATATATACATTATTGCTTTGTGTTTCACGTGATCCCTTTAGCCTACTAATAATATCGATTTTGGAATCAAATCTTGGCGATCAATCTCGACAATTCATTGAACTGAATTTCAACAGGCACTTTCATCATCAGTAACAAAAACACAACATTTGGTTCCATCTGCCTATGGTCCTTTTGAACTCATGTTTTCCAGCAGCATGATTGTCTGATGGGAACGCAGCTTCAACGAACACTTTGAGTCCCAATCACTGCAGTCCAGCATTATTTAAAACAAATATTGGGAGCCGTACACCCATTATGCACAGATATACGCTAAGGACCACTGCATTCTATTCAGCTGCTCCAATACTTACGTGATTCATGTTTTTTCTACATTTCTCACATTTTGATTAAAATAAAAAATACTCAAGTGTTTTTCCCCCCCGCTCAATGGAGCACAGGGCCCTCCCTACATTCTCCATTCCAATATCGGGGGCCGGACTCTTCATCGGATAACTGCCCTATAGAGGGGTGAAGGGCCGAGTTTAACCCTGAACTGTGATTTTAACTAGCAACCTTCCGAATATAAGACACACACTCTAGACATTCCATTCATTGGCTGCCACACCATAATTATTCTTGAACCATCATCCATATTCTAGCGATGTGTCCTGTTCAAGGGCAAGCTATTTTCTAAACAGTTTGAATTTATCACATCCCTGTGATGGTGTGCAGAGGTCTTGTCCAGCAGGTGATAGGAAATGGCTGCTGCTGATGATGATGGTAGTAAAAGAGCTCTGTATTTTTTTCTTAAAACAGAATAAAACGAATATTTCACAAAACTCACAAGCAAAAAAAGGTTTTGTATTTGTCGCCTGAAGAGTGTTTTTATACTGAGGCTTACGACGAAAATTGCATCTCTTCTCAATTACTCTTCATGAAACTTAGCAACAATTGTAGATATTTATATAGAGTAACCTAATTAATATTTGACTTTTTTATGACATGGCCTCCATCCTTTCCGAATGGCACTTATCCCAACACGGAACTAAGAGGCAGTATTCCACCATTGTAAACAGATCAACCGTCATCACGTACAGTAGTGCCATTTTTTATAATGTTTCCAACATAACCCATCAAATCGCAGAAAATGCTCAAGTGTGAGGGTGCCAGGAATTGGCTGTAGAGTAGATGATGCAGCACCATCGGCTCAACTGGAAAATGACTTCTGACGTCCTTGGGCTCATGCGTAGTCAGGCATTTCCACTATCGGATGTTTCAAAAATAACACCATATAAGTCCGCTGCTGTTATTTTGTGAGTCTAGAGCAGGGTTTCTTAAACGGCAGTCCTCGTGACCAACCACGCTATGTTTTACCGCGTTCACCAATTTACTCCTCTCATTCCCATTCAACTATTTACTCGCTCCACGCGGCACGCGCTCGATGATTGTAAAACGTGTCCTATGAGGACTCGAGTTTTGGACACCCTGGCTTAGAGCAGATTATGTTAATTTGCAAATTTGTTTGGCAAGCCTTGGTAAATATACTGGTAGGAACCCACTGGTCCCACCAGCCCACAGGAGATTATTGTGTCCGTCCGTCGTGCAGGGAGGGGCTGAGTGGGGAGGGAGGGGCTGGGAGGGGAGGGTGGGAAGGGGCTGGGTGGGGAGGTTGGGGCTGGGTGGGGGGTGGGAGGGGTGGGGCTGGATGGGGTTGGGCTGGGTGGGGAGGGGCTGGTCACCCCGTGGTGCCCTTATAAAACTCAACGTTTAACCTACTCACGCCGGCTTATGCCCGCCCTCACAGTCAGGGCATATTTGCGGAATACACCACGCCGCCGTTGACCCTGGCCATTGACCGAGCAACCCAACGTTCCTACCAGCTCCCTCCGCAGGAATGTGTTACCACACATATCTATGGGCCCATTTTTTGCCAGTATCTAAAATGGTGTTTGAACATCTTAACACCTGTTTATTGGCAGAAAGGGAAAAACCTATTTTTACCACAGAGCAGTCGAGAATATGTTTTTCAATTATATGATACAATAATTTTTTTAAAAGCTCCTGCAATATACATTCACAATTACAATGCAAGTTTTGAAAATTGCGAACATCTTAAGTATGCAAAACACAGTTCCTGATAAAAATAATAATAATCATAGTAATTCGTGCACATAGCTATATAAATATCTATATAAAAGCATATGCACATAAAGTGTCGTCGTGTTTTAGATCAAGAAGATAATTTGTGTTCTTGACATTCTGTTTCAGAGTGTTGTGGATAATGTGTTTGGTTGTATTCCAAATTGTCTCATTGCATCATCATGTTCTATATCTTATCTGATTTTGTTCCAGATAGTGTGTGTGTTTGTCATCATATACTGGCTCTTCCGTCGAGCGTAGTAAAAAATAGTAAAGGTATTACCAATGTAACTGGAATATTCGTACTCAATAAAAACGAAGTATTTCTGAGTTCACCCATTCTGGCATGGTAACTTCAGCCACCGAAGTGTGTGTTGCAAAGGCTGGTAGCACAGAGGGGCAGTGTGACCCAGAGTTGACACCACAAGAACGTCATCTTGCTCATCCTTCATGAAGGAGATTCTCAACATCTTTAGAGCCTGCAACGTCATTAGAATGATTAGAGTATCACGAGTCAAACATTGCGAAGTGTATCTATTTGGGTAAGTCTGCCACAACACTTTGTTTTTAAAGCTAACAGTTAATACATCTTGACTTAAAGCTTTCGTGACTGCAGGAATTCATATTCTTGACTTTACCGAAAGACCCAAGAATACTAACATTTTATACGTTTTCATTTCTACACGAATAGCACACGTACTCCCTCGTGCCATCCTGTTAAAGCTGCATTGTGAATAACTCAAATGTGTCAAAAGCTGTGAAAACGCGTTAGCTTTCCTGTACATGTCTTCCTCCATTTTATTCGTGCTCATGGCTGAATTCATTTATGCTCCATAGAGTGTGTATAATAAAGCATGCCTTGATGTATAACTTACATTAATCTCAAGCAATTTCTACAGCGAAATTATCAAAGTTCGCCACTTTCTGTAATCGATATTTTTGCAGTCATTTTTCAATACAATGCTGCATGAAAGCCTCCCCACACAATGTTGGTCACGGCAGTTATTTTACCGTACTTCACCACACTGGTCAATGTGGGTTAATGAGAAGAAGGCCCAGGAGGGGGGGGGGGGGGGTTAGATATTACTTGCCGCTAATGTTAGCTGTGGCAGAGAGTCTAACTCACGTGGCCAGGTTCACAGGGCAGTATGTGAACGACTGCTTTCTCCTCCTCCCAAGACCTCGTAACATCACCATAATTAATCCTCATCAGTTCTCATCAACCGAACGGATATATGTCAATAAGTTCTACCCCTTCTAATAGCTACAACATATTATTTATTACCTATAGCTGTCATAGTAAGTCGTATCCTGTATGGAAACATTTGTGTTTTGGTAACCACCAACAACAGAGAGTTGTATTGGACTGCCCACTAAGATGTGCAATATCCAGCTCGCTGGGTGACTCAGGAGGCTGATACACTGCCAGTCAGCACTGCAGAGAGCCTGGGTTTAAATCTGGGTTTTAGACGCCAATGATAAAACCAGTTTATGAAGTGGAGAAACTTGGTGGTTTCAGCCGTGTCAACAATGACTGCAGAAAGAAAACATCACCAGGGGTTTTCACCAAAGTTGACTCAATTCCAGCTCTGAGGATAAGGTGTTCCATTTTGGCATGCAATTAATATTGTCTATCGGTAAGGCATTTGAGAATAAGTACCACCTTGTGTGGATGAGAGGCAATGGAAGGGATTTCAAAAGTAATTCTGTAGTACTCCTTGGTTCTTTCGGCAAAGTCACGTAGTTAGAAATAAAATAAAACAAATCACGACGTTTCGATTGGAACACAAGCAATTTTCATCAGGTGGTAAAACCACAGGAAGAAAAGAATTGCTGAAGTAGGAGAGAGAGCTGCCGTGGCAAGAGGTTATATAGGTAAGAAGAAGGGAGGAGCAAGGAGGGAGAGAGAGAGGGGGGGTAGGGGAGCGCTGCGTGAGCGCTAAGGGGAGAGAAGATGCGAGGCTGGGGGGGAAGTGGATGGGGCTGGAAGTAGTTCTCTAACATGCAGTGATGTTCCACTGCTTTCTGTCAAAGTCACAAATACAAATGCCTTCGTCATTATCAATGGCCTCACCGAAATATATGCATCTTTAGTTTCGGAGACCACTTGTATAAGGATATCTGGTACATCGTGCTCGCCACCATTACCACCACAAGGCCAAGTAATATCCAGTTGAAATCGGCACAAAACTTCTGCACTCGACGCTGGCAGAGGGGGGAGAGGGGCCAATAAACAATCAGTTCTAGATTTGAAGCTTTCGTGACTGCAAGGATTCATACTCTTAGTTCTTTCGGTAAAGGTACGTAGGTAAAAAATGAAATTAAAATTAATCAAAATAAAATTAAAATAAAAATCACGACGTTTCGGAGGCAAAACAAGTCTCCGTCATCAGGTGGGACCGTCACAGCCAGATTTGCTGCATCAAGTGAGGCATGGATTCAAGATGCAAGCTCTTAAATACAAGTTAAGGGGGAGGAGAGGGGGGGGGGAGCTTATCAGACCTCCTGATTACGGAGACTTGTGTTGCCTCCGAAACGTCGTGATTTTTATTTTTATTTAATTTGTATTAATTTTTATTTCATTTTTTACCTACGTGACTTTACCGAAAGAACTAAGAGTAGTAACAATCAGCTGTAACAACCGTAGTCTACATTCGACTGAGCTCGAGACGTCATCGTGCAGCACCTCTGCAAAATGTTTTCCAGAGTAATTTACGGAATGATAGTTACATGAACTCGATATGTTCGCTGTAAATGTATTTGCTTCATTATTTACTTAAGTAATTGACAGCATTTGCACTCTAAGCGTTGTAGATTGTGGAGTTGCAATGCTTAATATACTTGTCAAGATTATGTGGAGTGGACCGCAGTTTAATTACTTTGATGTCAACGTTCTTTATTATATACTGGAGGTACAGCAACGCACAACAATTATACAATAACATTCCCAAGTACAATTGCACACGTAGGAAACTGATATAGCGATAGGTCACATTGTGAAAATTGCTTTGTATTGTACAGTGAAAGATGACACCGTGCCACATCCTGTCATTAAGTCACCCAAAACTTACCCTGACGGTCTTGGCTCCATATTCCCTTCTTGTAAATGAGTGGCACGGCTTGCGTGGGGATGATGGCGCGTCTCCGTCACTGTTGCTGGAGCACGTGTCGCGGTTCGCGCTGCGTTGGAAGGGGCGGCTGTCTTCGGCGTTGTCGCTGTCGCTGTATCTTGACGCGAACGTATGCCACCCAAGATCGTATCTGCCACGTTCTACCGGATCCGTGAGCACCTCGTGAGACGCGTTGAGTTCTAAAAAACCATTGCAGGCACGGACAATGTCATTCTGACAGGGCCGTTATCTTCCATTGTGTCTGCAGCATGGACATATGCGTGACTTGCAAAGAGTTTAAAAGGCACAAAACAGAAAATATGCAAAAAGCTGCTGTGCTGCTTGAGCAAACCATCGCACTCGTAATTGGTTCACAGTTACGTACAGAGGTTTGTCTAAGAGATGTGCTCATGCTCAACTTTTTCCTTCCACACCAGTATGGGATCGTGCTCACGGAATTATGTAACCGAGTGGCAATGATGTATGATGTCACGTCTTGCTGATTAGACTCAATGAAGTTGAAATCGGTCCACAGTTTCCATTCTCAAACACATACATGAATATCGAATTCCTCTTGACTAGAGGATTAAACCTTCTTGGTTCTTTCGGTAAAGTCACGTAGAAGGGAAGTAATAAAATAATTAGTCACGTAGAAGGGAAGTAATAATTATTTTATTACTTCCCTTCTACGTGACTTTACCGAAAGAACCAAGAAGATGAATCCCTGCAGTCACGAAAGCTTTAAATCGAAATTTAGAGGATTAAACTCGATTTGCTTGAATAAAATTAAGTACATTCTTTTTGTTGCTTAGTTCATTTATGAAAGCACACCTGAGCATAGATCACCATGGACTATTACCAGGTGTAAGGACAAAAGTGTTTGGATAATGGCTCAATATAATCAATGCCCAAGAGATGGCTGCGTGGTGTGGGTGGCTGATACCAAGTAAGAGACAGAGCAGATGGGGGTACTGCTGGAGATGCTGGGTTTGAATAATAGCAGATGCCTATGATTACATACATTTATTAAGTATAGCAAGTTGACAGTCGCAGTCACTTGATACAGCTATCGTGCTGTGACTGTTCCACCTGAAGACGGAAGCTTGTGTTGCTTCCGAAACGTCGTGATTTTTTATTTTATTTTTATTTTACTTTTATTAATTTTAATGTTTTACCTACGTGACTTTACCGAAAAAACTTAAGAATATGAATTATTGCAGTCACGAAAGCTTCAAATCTAGAAGTCGCAGTCAGACCGCGAATGATGGCTTAAAAATAACCGTATTATTACATTCGGATTTCCATTTGGAATATGTCAGTTCAGGGTTATAGACACGTTGGTGTCCTTGCCATAACGTGAACTCTCTTTGCAGGCCTTATAGGAGAAGTGTGCCCCTAACATGGATACAAAGGCTTTTAAAGTGGCACCAACATTATTCCCGTGCCATCATGTTCCAAAGGCGATCTGCGACACGAGGTGTTTGCACAGTTGTATGCATTTCTGTCGACATTCTTTCACACCGTGCGTCGCCAACCGTGCGAATCGGAGGTGCAGGGTAAGGACAGTTGGCTGAGAGTTCTGTATTGCAATGTCTAGAGTTCTGTGACAGATAATTGGTTTTTTACCCTTTTATCTGGCAACAAAACTGACACCTTTTTTACGAGGAGTCATGTTTGCATAGACCACAATACCTGCAGTCATAATGCAAACAAAAAACATTACTCTGATAATGTATGCACTGTCCTTGAAGTTGATTGGTTCACACCCGAGACAGCTTTCCTTAGAGCCTAGTCTCACATGGGTTGGACCAGATGACGCCAAAAGGCGCACAACTCAAAGACAATGCACCATCAGAGTATGGGAGCTCGGGGTAAGCATTTACACCATTGGTACCTCATTTGCCAGTAAAAAAAATTATAATTAGTTTTTTACCCTTTTATCTGGCAACAAAACTGACACCTTTTAAAAAAAAGTTCTGTGACAATTTGCCAAGAGCACACGTGGAACGTACAGTTGAGGAGTAATAAACAAATTAAAGAATCAATGCACGGATGCGTTGTGATAAATGGATTTCGATTTTTGTGAAAGACAAAGCGTAGCTTGTTTACTTTTGAATGCATCCGCAGCTCGTGGCATGTGGTTCTTGTCTGGATGAACTTTCAAAGACTGCAACTTGAATGCCCGTCTGATCTCCTCTGTCGACGCTGCAGACTGGACCTCCAACACTTCATAGTAGTTACACGCATTGCATATCCTGTCCATTGGAAGACAATACCGGCCAGCAATTTTGCAAGTTAAAGCTAAAAGTGCAATTGTTTAGCCACATTAGAACTCAAGGGACTCGGAGAGTCTCATTTCCCAGGGTGACCTGGATCACTAAAATGGCAAAAGCAATGGCATAAAATAAAATAGCATCTTGAAGGAAATCTAAATTGGAGATTAAACAATCATACATGTGTGGAGAGAACACATTTATAATGAACTGACAAGGATTTGGTCTTTATATATATAATTAACGTACAGCGTTATGGGATGCACCCAGCTTGAATAACGCTATATAAAATTCAATTATTTTTACAAGTCTGCCTCTCGTTGTACAATGTGTCTACCTGCATACGGGCCTTCCAGACCCCAACGTTATAAAATAATGTGTTTTCATCATATAACTCTGTATCTTGGCAATTAATGCAATCATGGAGAATCATCCATGGAGAATCGTCACGTGCTATAATGAATGGAGCAGGACCTGTTTTCAGCAGTGGCAAAATTAAAAACTGTAACATTTTGGACTGTGAGCCACATTTTTTCAGCAACATTTGTTTAAGCGTGCAAAGTCTGGGCTGATTTTGACCGTCGGACCTTTTAACAACTGCTACTGCCAAATGTTTTTGCAAAGACTACTTGACGAAAATTGTAGAGGCCCATTCAGCAAAAACAAAAAGCCCGATGCAAAGGCCAGCGTGCGCTGTGGTGGAAGAACAAGAGTAAAACAAAAACGTAAATGTGTGGCCCTCACCTCTCCACGTCCTTCAACATCACTGCGGCTTCTTCAACGCGGGCCAGCAGCTCTGCGCGAGAGGCCAACACACGAGGCGTGGAGTTCTCTGGTCTCCGCTCAAACATAAATCGGCCCACTGTACAACGTGCGCTGCCACCAGCAGTCAACTCCATCATCAACATCATATTTTTCATCATCATTTATTTTTTATACCGCGCCTCCAACGCAGTATATCATAAAGGCGCGCTGTGGCAGGGGGCACCCGAAGGCAGCTGTCCCTGTGCAGTGCAAAATGAATGCAACACCGGTCCTGCAAGTGGACTTGAGTCTGCCAGGAGGGGGACCATGTTGCTGTCACTCTCATTGAGGTACTATGCGTGGCATTTATCAAACTGGGAAGATTTAAACCGCGATGTCGGCACGCCCGCAATTATTTCAAATGACACCATGGAGTTGCTCACGTCTCCTGTTTAGCAGGAGTGTCTTTGTCGTGGACACACCTGCAGTATTAACCAGGACGGCCGCTGTCCTTGAACCACAAACCGTCGCAACAAAGTGGCAAATGCGCTGTCACCGCCAGTATCATTACACTTATTTTAGCCTGCCATGCCTTTTCTGGTTCATACGTTTTTTTTCGTGAGCAAGTATTAAGAGTTGGTTTATCCTTTCCCTGAATGGATAAAAAAAACACTAAAGGTGATGGCCAGATGATGATGAAGATGATGTCAGTGATCGCAATGAAGGTAATACAAATAGACGAGTTTAAATTTTGACTTTAAACTTTTGTGACTGCAGGAATTCATATTATATGGTTCTTTCGGTAAAGTCACGTAGATAGAAAATGTAATGAAAATAATAAAATATTTTAAAAATATAAAAAAACAAAAAAACTCACGACGCTTCGATCGCAACACAAGCGGTCGTCATCAGGCGGAGAGAAAAAAGGGGGGCAAGCCTCTAACTGCAACTGCTTATAAAGGTCTAGAATGGGCGCACGAGCAGTGGAGCAGCATGAATGGACGAACTAAAGTTGTGAGTGGGCTGGGGACAAGAGTCGTGGTGCCGTGCTCGTTCGGCGTAGTCCAAGTGTGCCAGCAGCATGGGCGGGGCAGCAAATGTTGATGTTGATGTAGGAGATTTTATTCAAACCTTCTTTCCCCCAAATATAAAAGGACCTGTCAAATGTACCAAACGTCTATAAGCAAAATCCTCCAGGTACGTAAGAGGATTTACTGGGAAAAGGAATAAATATTAGGCCTACTCTACACAAATATAATTAAATAAACGCATGAATCACGAACACTGCCTTCAAAAGGTAAACATAAAAACGATTCTAGCCATTCTCAATCCACTAATGGATGAAGGCCTCACCTTGCCACATCAGTTCGGGGAATTTTTTTTTACCATTCTTCACCACACTGGTCAGTGAGGGTTGGTGAAGGTGGGGGGGGGGGGCATGACTGATTCTGATACAACTTAGTTGTGGCCGGGAATCAAACTCGGGGCTCCCGTGGTCATGCTGCCTTAAAGAGCCCTCCGCTAGTTCGTGATAAATTCTGACGACGGAGGGTGCGTGGTTGCAGTTACCATGATCTTCCTCGTCGCAGGGGTAAAGTTGCTGGGCCTTGTCGATGAATCTTCTCGCTTGCTTCGTGTCGCCTATACCCAGAGCCGCTCGGGCATTCTCTCGACAGCTCATTGCTGCGTCTCTATTGGCCTCCATAGTCCCGAGCAGATCCATTACCCGCTACCGGAAGAGAGGAACAGCTCAACCCGGCTGAACTGGGCCTCTTCCAGTCACCTGCTTGCAAAAGAGAAAAGCCATTTACTCCATCACTGCCATCATCAACATCATCTTTGACAATTACAGTATTCTACTGCAACTGAATGACTCCCACCTGCAATCCGCCGCGATATTGCAGCGCTACCAGAGATGGGAAGAAAAAAACAGAAGCAACACCGACCTTCCCATCCACCAACACCTGAACAATCAAACACAAAAGCGGTGAAAATCATTACCGGCCATTCTGGGAAACAAGCGGCCAATATCCATGCAGCTGGTACCAACCCATTATCGGCATTTACGGAATGGCAACGTCAAAAACCGACACTTCATGAACATCCTAACAGCATTGGTCCTTGGCGATGCGGCCACCTCTTTCACAAGTGGCAGATAAGGGATGCCCCCAGGTGCGACTGTGGCCACGAGTCCCAGACGGTAGCACGTATCGCATTGACCTGCACATGAAGGTCTGTTGTGGTAGGGGATAGCACAACGAGACATTCCATTTTTTTTTCAATTTAAAGCTTTCGTGACTGCAGGGATTCATATTCTTGGTTCTTTTGGTAAATTCACGTAGAAGGGAAACGTCGTGAGAATTTTATTGTTTTATTTTTATTATTTTATTAATTCCCTTCTACGTGACATTACCGAAAGAACCAAGAATACAGACATTCCATTGTGAGCTTTTCCCATAATACAAATTATCGTTGACAATTACAGTACGGCAGTCATCATCTATTACAATGACAAAGCACTGAAGATGTGGATACAGATACCTAATAACTGTATTCCTGCAATGCCGCACCTTAACTTTTAAACATAATAAAGTGTGGTGAACTTGTATTCGTTCAGTAACCTATTACATTACAAGTGAAATGTAAGCACCACCACCACTAAAACCCTTCCGATAGCGAACCACATCAATATCTAGCAGTGCTTCGCAACCAGTGCATAGTGCGCTGCAGGAAAAGTTCCAGAGTGTGTTACAGGAAAGTAATGAACCTCTTTCCGTTGGCCCCAAGTGCTACGTTTACTGGGTATATTTTCATGATCATCACACACTCAGGACAAGTGAAGAAGCTCAACTCACCACAAGAGTTGAAGGGATGGCGGTTGTGAATGGCTGTGACCCGGATCACACCCACAGAGTGAATGATACATTAGTTGCAGATCGCTGGCACACCGACGAGCCATAATTACTTACTAAGAGTTGCAAGCGATTGGATGGAACCTTAAGTGCCCTCGCTCAACGCGGCGTTCTTCATTGCAACATCGGGCGCGGTCTTTCATGCGGTAAAAAAAACGTAAGAGGCAAAAAAGAAACCATCGCGATCGTGCTGTCAAACCCGAGCACGTGGCCGACCTCACACCGATGCTGTCTTATCGGCGAAAAATGAATGAAGAGCACACTGGGTTCAAACCTCTCCGACTACACAGGCGGCCCGCAGCGTAACAATGATACACACGTGCCGTGAAATATCACGCGCTAATCCTGCCAGTCGGGATGTGATAGTGTCTCAAGGAAATCAGAATATTCATTAATACTGGAAGAATCCGATGAGCTGTAAAGCTCTGCTTCACAGGTCAGAAGGTTACAGCAAATACAACAAAAAAACACGATAGGAGTGCGATGTGTAGGAAAGGTAAACGCATCACTTCAAAATACGCACACAAATGAAACTCAACTACTTTTTTACACTTCCCAGGTAAGGCCCACCGAGTTATTAGCTTATTGTTCACAAGTGGACCCGGCCACGACCGAACGATGGCTCATCAGGTGTGGCTTCTCATGTGGACATTTTTTTTATAATCACGAGTCGCCGGACAGCTGTTCCATCGGTCGATCTCGTTGAGTTGTCGCCGTTTCCTTCCGCCGTGTCTGCGCGCCACTACCGATGCACTACGTGTACTGTGTTGACCAAATATCGTTCACGTTGCGGTGAACCGGAATAGCGGCGTCTAGTGGCTGGAGGAATGAACACAAAACGGGCACGAAAGCGACGATGCTTATCCACACACACGCACCGTGTGAGCTGTTATTATTATGATGACAATCAGCCCTTTGTCTTGGTTCTTTCGGTAAAGTCACGTAGAAGGGAAATAATAAAATAAATAAAATAAACAATCAAATAACATTCTCACGACGTTTCGGCCACAACGCAAGCAGCCGTCCTCAGCTGAACAACAGGGCTGTCGGAAAGACAGCGTCCGAATGTTTGATTTTTATTACTTCCCTTCTACGTGACTTTACCGAAAGAACCAAGAAGATGAATCACTGCAGTCACGAACGCTTTCAATCGAAATCAGCCCTTTGTCAATCCACCGCTGGATGAAGTTCCTCCTCCTCCTGCTGCTGCTGCACGCCGTGTCAGCTCTGCGGTTGTTTATCAATACCTCAACCATTGCGCGTGTTCCGTGAACAGGAGGGCCCAGACACAACGCGATTACCGTGCGTGAAATCCGCGCGTGGGCGAGCGGGGCTCGAACCGGGATGTGCCCGGTTCGGGGCGCGGTGCGCTCCACTCCACGGCCGCCGCTGGACACATCGCGGAATCGCTGCCCCGTAGCGCGCCTCTTGTTTACGACTCTTCACGAACGAAACGAAAGACTTGCGGACAACGGATCCGGCACGGGAGTTCAACGGAGCGCGCATCGGGGAGGAGGGTGGCCCAGCCTCGACGCGGAAGTTGAAACTTGCCACGTCGGTGCGACTCGCAACCCGCCCGCGGGCAACTCTCGCTCCAGCGACTTAGTTGCATCCAGCCCCTCGCTCCCGTCTCCCTCCTTCCCTCCATCTCTCTCCTCCCCCCCACCTCTCTTTTTTTATTAATATTTTTTGTGTTATTTATTTCTTTTTGTATCGTGAAAACTGATAACGGCGGTGTATATTTTCAGGTTAGGAGCAGAGTTGGAATGACCGTCCGAAACCCATTGCCCCCTTTATTTCTAGAATTACATTACGGGAAAAAGCCATTCCTATTAACGACATTTCGTTGTACCCGCGTATCTCTCTTTAAGAACGCCCATCCCTTTCCGTAAATCCACTCCCTCCCTCCCTCCACTCCCTCCCTCCACTCCCTCCCTCTCTCTCCGTGCGCGGTGCGTCGAGCGCCACAGCGCGTGGATGTATAGTGTTTGTTATTTGTCTGCTGGTGACTTTGTGTATTTCGTATCGGAATCGCCTCCAGTGCTGGTGCTGTTGCTGCTGGCGGCAATAAAAGTTGTTTAAAAGTCAAAAGTCTCCGTGCCTCCATCTCTCTCCGTGCCTCCATCTCTCTCTGTTCTTCTCTGTCTCCCGCCATTTCTCGGAACGACCGGCAAATGGCATCCGTGGAAAAGGCTGTGCATATATAGACTTTTGACTTTTAAACAACTTTTATTGCCGCCAGCAGCAACAGCACCGGAGGTGCAAAGTCACCAGCAAACAAATGAAACAAACGCTATTCATAGTAGAAGAAGACAACCCTGACGATTGATTGAAGTCAGTGATGAGAAGGAAACCGGCACTAATTTGGACACAGCGGGGGCATTTAAAAGTGCGTTGTTCCCGTTTTTTTCGAGAAAATTTGAAGGAACCGGAGAGAGAGAGTAAGACTTTCAAGAGAATGGGCTTGGCCACGACGACGTCAGAGATTGATGCCGGAAAGAGGTGGCCCACCACTTGAGAACAAGACAGAGGAAAGTGGGAACAAATTGCGACATGTGCTGTGTACACATCAAGTTCAAGTTCATTCAAGTTCATTTATTAGGTGTAGCCCTGTGAGCCATTCGGCTCTTGAATCGGGTGCAACCGCAACAAACAAACAAAATTACAAGAAAACATATTAAAGTGAATATGTGACTAAGTGCAAACAGAAAATCCAAGCAAAGACAGCAAAATATTGCAGAAAAAACACCGTACACACATACGGTCTATCTTCCCAGTGGATCGTCATGGTGAGGATGATGGCTCACTTGGAAGCGAGACCAAATGAAGGTTAATAGAGGCATTAGGCTAAAGAGGAGGAACGCGTCTAATTACGTATTACACATTGTAAAAACAAAAGTTAGCAAACTTTATTTATGTACCCATGTAAAATCAACACGTGTATTCGACTCATAGCTAATTCATCAAACATGTAAAAACAAAACTCACTACATGTATTTCTTCAAACAAACAACTTTCATCTTGATTTGAAGCTTTCGTGACTGCAGGAATCCATACTCTTTGGTTCTTTCGGTAAAGTCACGTAGGGAGGATAAATAAAATATAAAATCAATTACGACGTTTCGATCGCAACACAAGCGGTCGTCCTCAGGCGGCCCGCAGTCTGTTTACATGACAACCCTTACTAGTTGGCTGTGTCGGGTGGTGGCGGGTTTTAACGACGCATTTATATATTTACGCGATCTAACCCAAAAAAACCTCCGTTATGAACTACGAATAAGTTTGAACCCATATGTTAACCTAGAACAATATAAACTACCTTTATAAACTCACTGATCATACACAATGCGGTTTCCAAGAGTAACCAGCGAGCGCTTCGAGTGCGTCCGTTGAATTTTAGTTGTATTCGCTAGCTAGTTAGAATTCCTCACAAAATGGCCAATTTATTAAAATATTGATGTTCATTATTCATACATTTATTTCTCTGAACCATGTTGGGTCAGGCAAGGTGGGGGGGGGGGGGTACTCGGTTGTAACTAAATTCAACAAGGGGATTACAGTAGCCAAATAAGTTTGAGAACCACTGCTTTAGATAATCTGCTTGACAAAGGGCTGTGAAATCTTATTGAAGTACCTGTATGCATCAGGCCGCAACCATCATCACCGCAATGTAAAAAAAAAAACCCCAATCTATTCTTGAATCGAATCAACATCCGAAATCTTGCCAGTGAAATCGTCGCGAAAGTGCCTTGAATCGTTATTACACAACGTATTTGCGTGAGATGATGGCAGATGGTCGAGAACAATGACGGAGTCGCAGCATAGGAATGGAACGCGCGCAAATGGAGCGATGAAATCAATTCACGTGCAAGGCGCCGGATGGGTTGTTGTATCACAGTGTGTCTGCGCGTTGCACTTCTTTCGCGCCGTACGTAGCCAACCGTGCTAATCGGAGGCGGCTTTGGGAGGGTCGTCTACTCGTCTCCCATCGGTGGCTTGAGCCACGGAGTGAGAGCGATGGTGATTTTTTGTCTTCTGCTAAACAGTCCGCTAGAGGGCACCATCGCTCAACACCACGGCCTGCTAACGTCTCGTCGAATTCTGGGCTGATGCGGCAGAGGGTGCGGGGGTAACCCCCATTCGAGGTCTGTTTGGTTATTGGATGAGAACCCTTTATATGCAGTACAGTACATTGTATATATCTGCTACGGTGTTTAAGGTCGAACAATCCAAAGGGTAGCTGATCACAGCCACGCTCCTGTCTCTGTGGCAACAACAAATGACACACGTGACTGACAGCCAATTAGTACGGTTTGTCACGTAAACGAAACATGCCAAATGCGTTACTAGTCCAGCACACCGGTGATTACAACTAGCATCATCAGGCGACAGCCAGAGTGGTGGAGACATCTTCCTGTGTCGGTCTTAAATCGAGGTGGTGAATGTGATGTCGTCACTTGTGAGTTAATCAGGTGCGAAGGCCAGCTGAGATTGGTGAGGGGGGGGGGTTAATGTATACATGTAAATTACCATGCCAAACAAGAATTGCAACGACCGCATTTATACAAGATCAACAAAGACGTCTGCACAACGACTATGGGCAGTGCATATAATAAACAGAGCTCATAAAACACCTTGCAGCCTCTGTCGAGTTCACCGATCATCTCAGACGGCTGTATTGTCAATTCACTGCTGGATGAGTGCCCCCCCCCCCCCCACAACAGACGTTGCAATTCTTGATTGGCATTGTAATTTATATGTATACATTAACCCCCCCCCCCCCCACCAATCTCATCTGGCCTTCGCACCTGATTGACTCACAAGTAACGGCATCACATTCACCCCCTCGATTTAAGACCGAAACGGAATCCATCGACGAAAGGAATGATGGATTGAGACTCGTGGTGGAATGGCAGCCGAAAGAGAGAACGTAACACGAGAGGGAGGACCGCCTTCCTCCAGCAGTGGATAGAGCATGGCTCGTGACGATGGTGATTAAATAAAGCTGCCCCAAAGACGCTTTGCAATCTCAACATATGACACGGACTTTAAGTTTTGGTTTATTGAAAACGATTTAAAAGGAGGGAAATGGGTACTGTAGTTGCAGTGGTTCGTTAACGGCGCTATAAAGTTAGTTGCTTACGTTTAATTGGTGGACAAAATAAATCTAAATCAGTACTCTTACTCCCACCTTGCACCAAACACACATTGACCAGCGTGGTGAAGTATGGTCAACCGACCGCCGTGTTTGACATGGAATGGGAATCCTGCATTAGATTGACCAAGGTCTGCAAATTATTGTTCGCCATTAGAATTATAACAACTCGTAAAATATGACATTATAAACGCTCTTTCGAATTGTTGTTGAAAAACAACGATGAGCTCTTCAGTTCCAGTTCGGGTTGGAGAGTGAGTTGCAAATTTGACGTCAACAAAAAACAAAGAACTCGCTGTTCGAACGTTTTCGATATTTCAGTTGAACGTGTAGAAAATTGTCATCTATTATTAACTTACATTTTTAAAACAATAATCTGTTGAACGAACATTACGAACGGGAACACAGGCACAAGCCAATCCCCCCCCCCCCAAAAAAAAGAGTATAACCCCTACCAATAATTATATTTACTGTACTGTCAGATAAACAAAAGTGTTTATCCAATTGCATACGCAATCACTGTACGGCAAATCAGTCTGAGATGTTTCATTGGTGTTGGCAAGTCTTCGTATTGTCAATAAATATAAACAAGACTGATACACGATTATTTACAGCCCTTGTTAATACACTGCTGGAAAAAGCCATTCGCCACATTGTGCCGGTCACGTTAGTTCTAGTTGACCTAACTTCACGACGCCGGTTGTCGCGGAATGTTCTGGAGGTGGCCAAATACCTGGACACCATCGCCACTGCCGTTAGCCGTGACCGGGACACAAGCTAGGGTCGCCGTGTCCATAACAACCCACTGCCCCACGACTGATACAAACATTTATTCACGCAATTTAAATCGCCATTACCGGTCCATTTCTGTTGCTGCCCGTTATACTCACTTGCGCGCACTATTTCGTTTCACAGGGTTTGATTTGTCTTGTAGAATGTTGGCGTTTTCCATTGTCTCCCGCAGATAAATTAGTGCCGTGGATGCCTCTAATCCAGTACTTTAAAGGTAATGTTCACAGACCCCACGGGGCTGCAAGGTGCTCAGGAGAGGACAGGCAGCACTGCAAGTGGGTTCGTGTACCCGTGTGTGTGGACCTTTGACCGTTAGCTCCTCGTATGCTCGGTAGGTTATCTCCGGGCACAATCACTTTGGTTTCGCTCCCACGTTAAGCAAAACGCCTGTCGCATTGGACATGGACAAATGCACCATTGCAGGACACTCTTGAAAGATAATTATCCAGAGACTCCGTAAGAATATCCTTCATAATTAAATCACCTTGTTGTTATTTGTGCTACGATAGAGTGGAATGGTGGCGCAAGAGTTACCGCACTTCGCTACGAGCCCAGTGACCCGTGTGCGATTTCAGACCATGGGTAACACCAGTGGCGAGTGTTTATCTGAACTGTTTCTGAGTCAATGTCCTCCGCCAGCACGCACTGACTAACGTGGTGAAGTATGGTCAACCTGCCCCCATGACTGACACTGCGAGGTTGAATGACAAATTGAAGGATAC